AACTTTTAACTTATTGCCAGCCGAATAATTGAAAATTTCTGAAATTCTTGGTTTCTTGATAATTTAATCTTTTTATTTGACCTTGACCTTGTTTGCGTTCACGGTCAACTTCCTGCCGAGGCCTTCTCCTATCATGACCTTATTTACCAGTCATACAAAATCCGTTGTCCTAAGCCCAAGCCTCGGGTGGTCATGCAGCGTAACAGCGTAACGTCTGCAACTTAGCCCGTATATTTAACAGTAAGTAGAATTTTATTTAGGTATGTAATATTATGGTCACTTATTATTTCATAATATGATAGTGTAAGTTTTGAATCGTGCATTTAAATTTTTATAACTGGCACACTACGTCTCCCTCTCTGTTCAGTTCTCCTCTGTCTCAAAGGTTGTCTGGAAGAGATCACTCTCAGCGATAAGACCGCCTTTGCCCACATTAGTTCTAAGTTGTCCATGTACTGTTTGTTTTGTGTGTGAGCAATAAAGTGTCTTATCTATCTATCTATCTAAATACATGAATCTTATTAAATAACCTTTTATTAACATATATGCGCCAGGCTATCGCAAACAGCGATATTATTGTATGTTTACATAATTTTAATTAAGATTAGTAGTGCAAGTTAATCTAGGTGATACCTAAACTAAGTAAAATTACTTACTTGTATCTTAGGTATCCACATCGGTGCTTATAGCATAATGGTTCAATAACAATAAATTACAATAAAACATGAATACCTAATTATATTAGTTAGCATCTTAACTATTATTAATATTACGTGAAACTATGTCAAATATTGACGTAAACCACACTATTTTCAACTATTTCATGACTGCCTATCATCATCATCATCAACTCGTTCCCACTGCTGGGCATGGGCCTCGTCTCAGGCAAGGCCATAGTTCCACATGCTGGCTCAATGCGGATTGGGACTTCGTTTTCCGAGGGTTTACCTCGCGTCTGCGACTTGCAGGTTTCGTCAAACCAGGTTTAAATTCTGAGAAACTCAAAAGTGCGAGACCGGATTCGAACCCACGACCCTCTGCTTGAGAGGCGGTAGGTTAAACCATTGGGCTACGACGTAGACTGCCTATAACCGCAGGCAATTATACTTGTCAACAACAACTACACTTATGCATAATCTCAGTACAGAGTACTAAAAAAACCGACCTCAAAAGTACGTGGAATTACATCTATTTGCCAAATTTTATTGAAATCGGTTACCGGAAAGTGCGCAAACCCGGATTCATTCCCTAGTTCGCCACTATACGGAACTTGACACAGGAGATAATAAAAATCGGTTCTCACTACTCAAAGTATATTGAGAGAGAAAAACGCCTTGAATTGGAGAATAGCAAAATCAACCATTAAAATAATTGGTCCTTATAATAAAATTTAGACGCTATTTATAAAAATGCGTCTTCATGCGTGAACAGCCACTCTTAGAAGTAGATGATTTTCTTCAAAATTAAATGGGACCCTTATGAAGGTACCCTCTTTCCAACGAAAAAGAATCATCAAAATCGGTTCACAAATACCGGAGTTGTCGCGTAACATACATACAAAAAAAAATTTGAGTCGAATTGAGAACCTCCTCTTTTTTTTAAAGTCGGTAAAGAGTGAATCAGCTTATTACTTCAATGTATGAACGTAAAATCAACTCATAGTTCAAATTAGGGTGGTGGATTAATATGAGAAATAGTTATTACTTGACTATGACCATGACACCTGGTTAAGGGCCCGAAATGTTTAGATCCTCAAAATATACGTTCCATTTCCAATTTGTCATAATTCAGTCGAACATGCGATTTTATTAAAAAATCTTGCTGAGTCATCGAAAGATAACTTTCTGCACCAATTGTCGTGAGTCTACCTTTTCTATGTCAACATAAGTATTGTTTTTTTTCGGTAGAGTTTTAGCGGCTTTGGTAATAAGTCTTTACAGCTTATTCTTCATTTTAGTTTCACTTTTTATTTAGGTTTCCAATTATCATAATACTGTCGAATGCGAAAATGATGTAACTGTAAATAGCTTAATAAGTTTTTCCTGAAAAAATTAATTCAAACACACATTCCCCATCTCTACTTCTGCCTCAGTGGCCGAACGGTTACCATGCCGGTCTGCCACGCAGAGGTCCCAGGTTCGATTCCCAGACCGGGGGAAATATTTGTATGGCCTCATTGACTTTATGGCCTACATTTATTTCTCCCGTGAGTTTGGGTATAATATGTGGTTGTCTATGTGTTTGTCCATGGCACCCGCGACACAGGGTTTCCCTAGTGCGGGGCTATGTTAAGTGTGTGCATTATTATTATTATTATTATTATTATTATTATACTACAAAAATACAGATGGGAAATGTCTTCTTCTTCATACGTTATCCACTAGTAACGACCTTTGCACGTTGAAAGCAGGAAGTCGAAACTTACTATGTCCAAATCGCAAACAATTGTTGTAATGAAGAGGATGACTTCCATTTGAAATACCAATATTTATATGGGATTTTTTTTATTTGAGCGTACCAATTTCCTTTAAAAACTTTGATTTCCAATTCTAGGTGTGATTTGCTGGACAGAATATAAGTTACACTGATAAATATGCCCAGTTCCAGATCCGGCAAACTAAACTGTATATTTTTGGTCTCGTTTTAATAGATGAGCACTTTTCCATCATATGTACATATGGCTATATAAACACCACCCTTTGTCCATCCTAATTTTATATTTATCGCTTTTCGAAATAATAAATTCATATTTTTTTACCAATTAACCAATGCCATCTTTGCAGCCCACATGCATCATCAGAAACAACAATTCCGTCTACTTCAGGCCTTCAACCAGACGAAAGCACCATGAGAAAGAACGATGACGACGCCAAAGAGAACCAGAACGAAGGTTCTATCACCGACTGGGTCTCCGGAGGACCGATTGGTGCCAAAGGAGCCGTTCTGATTTTCCGTTCATGCGTACTAGCATCAAGAACCCCATCCATGGAATCCGCAACGAAAACCGTGGGTAACAACACCGGGACTGCGATCCTGTTGAATAAAGCCAAGAATATGGCGAGACGACTGGTCGCAGAACCTCATTCCTTTAGCGTAAGATCGAAGAATATCATGCATGACGTCATGGAAACTTTCGGGAACCCTAACAAATTTACTGGACAGTCTTACGTGGTGAGACACGTGAGTGATGCCGAAGTTCCGGAAACAGTAACCGTGGAGGAACAAGGACATGAAAGCTTTGAGCATAAGCGGGACATAGATGATGTTTTAAATGACCTGAATAAAATTACGCTTAAGAAACACCTGAATATTGAGAATACGACTGCAAATATCAAGTTGGAAGAGCCAGCTCCTACGACGACTCATAAAGGTAAGTTGTCCTATTGTACGAGTCTCCTATAAGAAGAAAGTGAGGGCCATAGTCCCCCACGTTGGCTCAGTGCAAATACACCACACTTATCGACAAGGAATCACATTAATCATTTTCGCTCTTATTGATTGACATAAAGATTTTTCTGACCTGCTCAAGCAGAATAATCGTGGTGACACACTCACACGTTTTAGTATAGAATAGTAAACATTTCCAACGCCACAACACAAAAATACAAATAAATAATAATTGAAAACAAAAGTAAAAGTAATTGCAGACAAAACAGAATAAATTTGAAATACTGTCATGTGTGAGGCAGTGGCGTACGATGCCACACCATGCGTTGCGATGCCTGAGTGGTGACGTTGCGTTGTACGTTGTACATGTAAATTAGAACTACATACCATACAGTGCTTAGAAACAGCGTGCAACGCCAAAACGCGTGCGCATCGGACAAGGGGCCAGGAAACGAGTTGCGTTGCGTAAGTAAGGACGTTGCAACATCGCATTGCTCGTTTGGCACTCGACGTGTTGAAATCATAACGTGCCCGTGTGACATCGCTCTAATGCCACAGCCGAAATTAGCCAGTGACGCTGGTTTTCAGTGAAATAAGTTTCCAAGTGTTGTGAACTGTCTTCGATGTGCATGCAGGTTTCATCAGGAAGTTTTCCTTCTCTTTATGACCACTAAACATTTATAATTACACGTTATGTGGAAATTAAAGTCTTAAAATACGTTGCAGCAGGGATTCCTTCTCTCAATTGGGCAAAGCAACCAAAAAAAGCAACCATTCTCCCACTGGTCTATCACTGCTATTTTGGACTTTGATCCATTGTTTTAACTACGCTTTCCGTCCTTGACATAAAGTCTAAATTTACAAATAGAATTGAACTATTTATATAAATTTTAGAAGGCCAAGTCTGACCGGTTCTACTTCAATCCCAGGAATCACTGCCATTCTCTATAGAAAGCTGGTATTTGTAATTAAGGTAATATTTATTGGAAAACCATGTCATTGAAAATTTATAAAACATTTTCTAGTTCCGGAGGTGGAGAAAAAGCCTAAGAAGACGAAAAACAAGAAGCGCAAACCCCCTGCTGTGCATCAGCGGCCCATGTCCCCGACATTCGACAGCGATGACTCTGAACACCTGCTCGTCAAAGAGGTGGACAGCGTCAAGGTAAGTTCCACTACTTGTCACGGATACTGTGATATAGCTAATAAAGTGAATGAGTATCTAAAACAGCGAATTAGTTAACAATTGATGAACAATTATTAATGAATTCTGTGTGCTATGAGTACCAGAGCAACGGAATTTACTACGGCATTACCCAGATACCGAGGAGACCAGGGGGCCTACCACAACCTCTTAAACCAATAATACTTTAACCTTACGTTGACTTTTCGTACCATGACGCGCTTAAAGTAAAATTATTATAATGTTAAAACTATGATGTTTTATTGACACCTTTGTGACTATACATTCACTCACTATGACGCGACTTTAACATTAAAGTAATATTGTTCTTGTGTCAAA